TATTAATCAAACTGCTGTTATGCCAATTAATTTCAGTTTAACAGACTATTATGGAGTGTAGAAGAATGTATAACTAACAGTTGATCTTTCTAGTTAATTTTCTTAGCTATATTTTAAATTATTAGAGAGAAATTCGAACATGCTCTATTTGATGATGGTTATTATTTTCCAATTAGATCAGAAGATATATTTTTATCCGTTTTGTTGGTTGCTCATGTTGGGTTTCTATTCTAGCCTACCCTAGAGACTGAAAATCTTTGTTGCTGTTGTTATATATAAGAATGTAAGATAGATTCTGAACTCATTCTTAGCCTACATTTGCTCTTGGCTCATGTCACATTTCAGTAGTGACAAGTGTGGTTGCCCCCTGTCTTTTCACTAAGGTTTAGAAAGGATGATTTCATGCCGGCCTGTCATTCATATCACATTTTTCAATTAGTCATTTCACTACTGTGCTGTATTTGTAATGTGAACCAGCATCTTGTCTTCAAAGCATACCTTGTGTTGATCTGCACCATTTAGAATTTAAAATAGACCACTGAGTATGCAAAAACAGTTTCCCACCACCTGAAGTCATGGTAGATGTGGACCTAAATCTTAAGTAAATTGTCAAGACACACACAATGCATGAGCTGGCTTGTAGATATGGGAAAAAGTTGGGTGGGGACGGTCCCCATATAGCAATCATGGGCACCCAATGTGGATTTGCAACATGTGTCCATGTGTATGCATCTAATGCATGAGAAAGATGTGGTTTTTCTTTCTACCTATTCCTCCTAAATTTAAGGAACAAATTTATTTGTTGGATGCAAGCACATGGACACGTGTCCCAAATTCACGATGGGTGCTCATGGTTGCTCCGTGGGGACCATCCCCACTCAATTTTTTTTCTACCTAAGATGCCACCACAACAGATAGAAACTAGAGCGATCAACAACAATTTTTGGCGGCATCTCCCCTTAAAACAAGAGCAACACGGAAGGAACAACATAAAGAAAGAATATAAATAAGCTCAACAACAAGATATAGAATCCTAATGAGCAGGTCATCATCAAACAAAGTGTAGAAATACTTCCCAACAACAGCCACAAGCCAAAAGTTAAGGTTGACCAATTAACAGAGACTAAGTTCTAGTACTATTATTATTATAGCACAAGTTTTCACACTAAAAGATGACATGAATGTGCTGAGTGTGCTGCTATTTTCCCACCCATCAAGCAAAAGCCACCTGAGCGTCTGGAAAGATAGAAAGGGGGTGTGAGATATAAAAATCTAAGCAAGTAAACTAATTTAACAAGTTATTGACACTACAAGTTAGTTCAATAAGCATTGATTTTAAAAGTTGTTTATGTGTAATCCAACAATAAGCAATGAGATATAACCAACAACCGATACGACCTCGTATAAGGCAAAGATTAATAACCACCGATCCCTAGAGAAGCATAGCTTCTCACTAGCTCTCCCAATGCCTTAGTCCAAGCCACATATGCCATAGTCCAAAATTATAATGCATATGCAATGCAAATGCCATGTTTCCTGCCTTCATACCCAACAAAGTATGAGGCCGCATCGTTATGCCCAATAAATGATGTTGTACCGGTACGGTCGTGGCTAGCAAGCGGCGACATAACTCCATATGCCAATGTAGGAATGGGATGCAATGCAATGTTAAAAGGGTGTACCCAGTGCAGAGAGCTCCCGCTCTGTGCGGGGTCTGGGGAAGGGTGTCAATGGCAAGCCTTACCCTCGCTTGTGCAATGCGAGGAGATATACCCCATATAACATCATGAGCTTCTCGCCATAGAGACATCAAACCACTTTCCATTACATGAGCATCATCAACCATTAGTAAATGAATATAGATATTCACATAGAAAGCATAGAGGACAAGTCAAATGAAAGAAACATGGTTTGAAAGGCCATAGGGTATTAGTTGTGGTTCTGAATTTTTAAGGTGGATGTAGAGTAAATAACAAATTAAAGTTTGTAGCAACCACCGCTACGTTTACTTGCCTCCAATGAAGATATGACCGCTCTATGTGCGATCTGAAGCACTACCACCTGCTTAAGTAGTATAATATTAGAGAGAGAACTCATTTAAACAAATATAAACAGTAGGTAAAGCGCTCCTACGCCCTAACCCGACATTGAAGCAAACAGAGAACAAAGTAACAACCCAACTGCAGCAGTGCTACTTCACCTTTTTGTATCAATCAATCCATTAAGGCTATGATAGCAAACAAATAAACTTTTAGAATCTACACAAACTTTTATGAAGAGCTTATATTTTTATCACACTTTTAAGATGGCCTAAATTGCTGTTAGAAACAGACTTCAGAAACTGTCTAAGAATTGAGACAACATGCTTTACATTTTCATATCTCCATATCCTTGTCCAAAAATTATGCAATTTCACAAGATAGCAAACCATCTCATGATCTACAACTTTTGTATTACTCACATTTGCAGATAGGGTCAGAAAGATGGCCTAAGAGCGTCCGCAGTGTATAGATGTGGGGTCGTCTCTTTGGGTGGGTCCCACAGTGATGTGATGGCTTCTAGTATTTAGTTTCCAATGTGTAGAACCGGTCTCGGTTTATAACTGGGCCCACCATTTATTACTGTCTGTCGATCCCCTCTCTTTCCTCAGTCTGACTTCCGACACGAGGAGAGAGAAGAGAATGGGAGTGAGTTCGTTGGATAGGAGCGGCTTCTTCATCGAATCAAGTACGCAGCGTATAGGACTCGGTCCTATGGTGGCATTTATTAGATCGAACCGGCTAAAGAATGCCCACTGCGGACGCCCTAATGCATGAGCAAAGCTTAGCTGAAAATTCTGCAGAGAAAATAATACATCCAACTTTGAAAATCTATATCTAGAGTTCCTCTTATCCAAAGGCCATGATATTTTCCAATATGGAAAGCTAATGAAAAGTACTAAAAAACTCTAATGATTTGTGAACTACCATCAGGCCTCTAAGGTTATCCAAAACCTCCTAGATCCAGTTCTGTCCAGAACTTTGTCAAGGAAAGACAGCTTGTTTAGAAAAAACATAACTCCCAAACTGCTTATCCTAAAATCATGAAATTTCATGAGCTAGTAGATCTGAAAATCCTCTAAAACTTTCGTATTGTCCACTTTCGGAGAAAAATACATTTACGTTGCGGAAACTACAAGGACAGCTACAGTGCTCAAACTGTTAGGTAGCAGAATCCTAGACTTGATTTCCAAAGGTGATTCCTCCCTCAATAACAACTAATACCAAGACCAAAGACCATTCAAGACATCTCAATCAGAAGACCCAAAGGGGTAATCATCTCACCTTGGTTATCCCAAGCTAGGGCTGCAAGAAACAGATGGGGAAAAGCCGATCTACAACAAGTTGTAGCTCTCCTCGATCCTCTTCTCGTCCTCAATCCATTTTCCTCTTTTCCTTGGTTATTACTGGTTTGGGGAAGGTGTTGGAGAGGGAGAGGGCGCAAGGAAGAAGGGGGGAGACATGCTGGAGGGGAGGAGCACGAACAGGAGAGGGGAGAGGCTGATGGGGCTGGAATGTGAGTTCTAGGGTTGGGGGGCGACTTGGGCCTGGAAGGTGGTGGGCTGGCTGGGCTTTGGCCCTTCTAGCCCCTTTCTTTCAGTTTTTGATGTGTAACACATCAAAAAATGGCTTGGAAGAGGGCCAAGGCCCAGCTAGCCCACCACCTTCCCAGCCCCAAGTCGCCCTCCCCCTCTACCCTCTGCAGAGTGTTCCTCTCCCTGGTACGCTTCTCTTTTTCTCGTGTGTCTGGCCTCCCTCTTCTCTACATTCCCTTCCTCTTACCTGCACCCTTCCCTCTCTAGCACCTCCTCTAAATCAGCAATAACTAGGGGAAAAGAGGGGAAATGGATTGAAGAGGAGGAGAGGATCGAGTAGAGCTGCATCGTGGGCGTAGATCGACTTCTTCCCCACCGTTCCTTGCGCTTCCCTAGGTTGGGGATAGCCAAGGTGAGATGATTTTCCCCTTGGGGTCTTCTGATTGAGGTGTTTTGTATGGAATTTTGTCTTGGAATTTAGGGGTTTTGAGGGAGGAATCACTTTTGGAAATCAAATCTAGGATTCTGCTGCTTAACAGTTTGAGCACTGTAGTTCTTGTAGTTTTTGCAACCTAAATGTGTTTTTCTCCAAAAGTGGATAATACGAAAGTTTTAGAAGACTTTTAGATCTATTAGCTTGTGAAATTACATGATTTTAGCATAAGTAGTTTGGGAGTTATGATTTTTCTAAGCAAGCTGTCTTTCCCTGACAAAGTTCTGGACAGAACTGAGTCTAGGGGTTTTTGGAGAACCATAGAGGCATGATGGGACTTTACAAATCATAAGAGATTTACAGTACTTTTCATTAGATTTACAGATTGGTAAAGATCATGGCTATTGGATAAGAGTAAAGATGGGGATGGGTGAACCATGGAGTGAACCGTGGCTGATCCACCGATCCAACTAATTAGTACAGGAGCACCATTTGCTCCATTTCTATTAATTGCTGACCCTATGGGCTCCAATGGATTTCACGGATCGTTCCATTTCTATTAGCCTGTGACAACGACCAATCCACAACAGAGAGGAGGCAGATCGGCATGGTGCTGGCCCTGTGGACTCGGTCGGTTCTTGGTTCTACAGCAGCGGCTGCCGAGGCCGCGCTTCTTCCCCGGCAACCGCGTGGACCCGTGCGCCGGCGTCCGTCACCGACCCGCTTCGCCGCCGTGCGCTATGACGCCAGGGCAAAGGCCAAGGCCCGCGCCATTAGCATCTCATCACGTGCGTACGCCATTACGAAACTGTAGCGATCACACCCGTACTCTCTGCCGGAGACGCCGGCGAGGAGGTCGTTGTGCGCCGCATTGCGCTCTAGTGCTTCCAGCTCATCGACGCGTCCAGAGGAGCGAGAGAGCGCCTCCTGGCCAAGGCAGCTCGCCGGCCGCAGCGGCGAGCGAGAGAGCGCGTGCAGAGGAGGGCGGCGACAATGGGCGCTAGCGAGTGCGTCGCCAAAGAGAAGGTTGTTGCACCGGACCTCGGCGCCATCATCTGTTGCTGGGGCAAGCTAAGGTCCGAGGCACAAGTACTGAGCGGAGGTCGCGCCGTATGTGCTGCGAGACGAAGGAAGACGGGGGTGGATCGAACCGCTGGATCTTTTGGTTCTGTGGCTTCTGATCCATCGATCCCAATGCTCTATCTGATATTAGAATGGATCCCATTTGGTTAGATATTATGGACCGGTTCATCGAACCGCTCCAATGAACCGATCCACGCCCATCTTTAGATAAGAGGAACTCAAGATATAGATTTTCAAAGTTAGATGTACTGTTTTCTCTGCAGAATTTTCAATTAAGCTTTGCTCATGCATTAGGCCATCTTGCGGACCCTATCTGCAAATGTGAGTAATATGAAAGTTGTAGATCATGAAATGTTTTGCTATATGGTGAAATGGCATAATTTTTGGACATAAGGATATGGAGATATGAAAATATAAAGCTTGCTATCTCAATTTCTTAGGCAATTTCTGAAGCCTATTTGTAACAACAGTTTAGGCCATCTTAAAAGGTATGATAAAAATATAAACTCTTCATGAAAGTTGTATGCCTTGTTGTGTAGATTCCAAGTGTATTTGTTTTGCTATCATAGCCTTAATAGATTGAAATATACAAAAAGGTGCAGTAGCACTGCTGCACTTGACTTGGTGCTTTGTTCGCTGTTTTGCTTGTATGTCGGGTTGGGGCGTAGGAGCACTTTATCTACTGTTTATTTTTGTTGAAATGAGTTCTACCTTTGATATTATACTACTTAAGCAGGTGGTAGTGATTGGGATCGCACATAGAGCGATCATCACTTCATTGGAGGCAAGTAAACATAGCGGTGGTTTGCTACAAGCTTTAACTTGTTATTTATTTACCTCTACCTTAAAAATTTAGAACCCAATACAATATAATGTTACCTCTCAACTTGTGGTTTGATGATGCTCATGTTGATTCAATGGAACAAGGCTTGTTGTCCACATGGAGAGATGCTCATGGTGTTATATGTGATTATTTATCATTCTTGTTATGGCATTTGCATTGCATCGTATGCATTCATTGGCATATGGTACAACATCGTTTATTGGACATAATGATGCGGCTTCATACCTTATTGGGTATGAAGGCAGGAGACATGGCATTTGCATTGCATATGCATTATGATTTTGAACTATGGCATGAAAGCCTTGGGCTAAGGCTTTGGGAGAGTTTGTGAGAAGCTATGCTTCTCCAAGGTTTGGTAATGACTAATCTTATCTTATATGAGGATATGAGGATGTATCACTTGTTGTAATTATCTCATTGCCTATTGTTGGTTTGCATATAATTGAAGATTGAATTGATGCTTAATGAACTTGTAGTTTAAAAAGCTTTTTAAAGCAGTTTACTTGCTGAGATTTTCAGTATCTCACCCCCCCCCTCTATCTTTCCAGGCACGCAAGTGGCTTTTGCTTGAAGGGTGGGAAACTAGCAGCACACTCAACACATTATTGTCACCTTTTAGTGTGGAATCTCATGCTGTATAATGGGCACATGAAATTGATAGATTGATTAGGAGGCCAATGGCAAGGTTACATATGTAGGTAAGGACCCTGGGTTGGTTTATACAAGTATGACCACCGTCGGGTTTCCTTGCCTAATATAACATCAATCAATCTATAGCTAACCATAATGGTCCGATGGCCTAGGTGCCCATGCAAACTGCTCTAACCCCCCCCCAAGTCGGTGCAGACGTTCGGGACCTGGACCGGAACTCCTGAAAGACCGTCAACGCGAACCCTTGGTGAAGATATCTACGTACCGAGACGACGTCGGCACGTGGAGGACGCGGACGCTCCCGAACAAAGTGAAGGTCAATCTCAATGTGTTTGGTGCGTTCTGAACCGGGTTGGATGACATGTAGATAGCGCTGATGTTGCTGCAGTAAACCAAGGTAGCCTTTGCTGGGTGGAGAGTGGAGCTCACATAGAAGTTGTTGGAGCCAGGAAACCTCGGCCATGGCAATAGCCACACCGTGATACTCTGCTTCGGCGCTGGACCTGGAGACTGTTCTGGCGCTTGGAGGACCAGGAGACGAGGCTATCCCTGAGGAACACAGCATAGCCCGAGGTGGACCTGCGGGTGTCGGGACAGCCGACCCAGTCAGCGTCGAAGTAGACAACTAGATCGAATTGTGCTGAGGGTCGAAGAAGCAGCCCAAGGTGGAGAGTACCATGAATGTACCGCAGGATGTGCTTCAGAGCTGCAAGATGAGGCTCCCGAGGGTCGTGCATGTAAAGGCAGACCTGTTGGACAGCGTAGGAGATGTCCGACCGAGTGAAGGTGAGGTACTGCAGGGCACCATCCAAACTCGAGAAATTTGTGGCATCACTGACAGGGGCACCATCTAGTGCTAAAACCTTGGAATCCACCGGAGTGGAGCAGGGCACTCATCCATGCCCGCGCGGTCTAGAATCTCTTGCATGTACTGCCGCTGCGAGAGAAAGGGACCATCTGGCCAGCGCTGAACCTGCATCCCAAGGAAGCGATGGAGATTGCCCAAGTCCATCGAAAACTCAGCAGTGATGATGCGACGGAGAAGCAAGGTCGACGAAGCGGTGAGGACGATGTCATGCACATAGAGCAGCAGGTAGATGAGGTTGGCACCACGGCGGAACACGAAGAGCGAAGTGTCAGACTTGGCTTCCACGAAAACCCGAGGCAGACCAAGTATGCTGCAAAGCGGCTGTACCATGCTCGAGGCGCCTGCTTGAGACCGTAGAGGGAGCGGTTCAGACGGCAGACGTAGTCAGGATGAGTGGAATCCTCGAATCTGAAGGTTATGAACTGCTGGGTATCTGCAGCCCTGCACACATCAACCAAGAGGTTATGAACTGCTGGGAAAGGTAGCAGCAGTATGTAAAATCGTAAGAAAACTTGCTTATATGGTCCAATAAATTAATACAAACCTACTTGAAAACTTCAAGCAGGATGCACACTGCCGAAAGTGTCAAGATCATCAAGAAGCTTATATGGATAAATAAATGAAACTATTGTTTATGCTAACTCTGAACTTTATGTTTGAATAGGAACATGAATCCTCGCTGTGCAAAAAGAAGTGTAAAATTGGAGCTAGACAGTAAGCTTGCAAAAGTCAGAAACCATTAGCATCGGCCTCCATTCACTGTTGGATGAAAGATTCTCTCTCAAGAGAATGCTAAATTGCTAGCTACATATAGTCATATACTTAAAGTTTAAGAAGGTGCAATGAATTTATGGGTCTGCACTGGCATTTCGTCAAACATCTAGAGTTACTGGAAGGATGTACAGAGAAGCAAGCACAGGAAAATAACCTTGTGCATCGCATGGTCCGCAACACGACGACGGCGACGAGGACGCAGTAGAGGATGGCCAAGGCGGCCTCATCCTCCTGCGCCACCGCTTCCTGGGCCCGCACCACCGGCACAAACGCTGCCGCCACCACAGTTGCCTCTCCGGCCTACACTGCCACCTCAGCCACCTGGGACCGGCGCCTCCCACACTGATCCGCGCCGCTGTCTCCCTGGTCCGCCGCCTCCTGCAGCCGCCAACTAGATCCTTCACCGGATTTACGCCGCTGCCTCCTGAAGTCCTGAGCCTGCCGGCCGTTTCGTCAAGGAGCTGCCGGTGGTGCAAGGGAGGGTCGGGCGCTGCGAGTATCGAGGGAGCCCCGGGCAGTGGAGTGGTGGGGCGGCGTGAGGGAGGCGGGTGGGCGGCGCTGGGGAGATGCGTGCGTGTGGATAAGGTGTGGGTGGGAACTGGGGGGTGTCTTAGGCTTTACATATGAGTTTTGGGCCAAAATTTGATGGGAGCCGGCCCAAAAGACCGCGCTAGTGGATAGTTGTATTCAGCGACCGACGATTCGACTCAGCTAGTGCTATATGGCGACCGACGATTCGACCAAAAGCAAAATATTTATAGCGACGGACCATCCATCGCAGCATTCCGTATTAGCGACTGACGGTTCGAGGGAAATCTTTAACAACTGACTGTTCAACGGTAATTGTTAGCTTTTAGCAACAGACGTTAGATGGTATTTTGGTGTTGTGGTGTAGTGTAATTGCGGGAGAGAGCCAGGGAGAGCACAGTCCGCACGGTGGCCGGTTTGACGACGGAGCTGAAGGTTTCTGCAAAATCAACACCTGGGCGCTGTGTGAAGCCGCGGAGAACCCAACGAGCTTTGTAGCGCTCCAGTGAACCATCAGCCTTGAACTTGTGCTTGAAGATCCATTTGTCAGTGACCACATTCACACCAGGGGGCGTGCAACAGGGTCCCAAATGTGATTCTGGAGAAGGGCAGCATGTTCAGCATCGCAGCTTGCCAGTTTGGGTCTGCAAGGGCGGCGCGATATGTCTTCGGGACAGGAGACAGTGGCGCGTTATGAACGTAGCAGGCACCCGGAAGCCATGTTTCGCCCTGGTGGTCATGGAGTGTTGATTGACCACAGGGGGAATGACATCGCCCTTTGGGAGGGGAAGCAGAGTATGGCACAGGAAATTGATAGATTGATTAGGAGGCCAATGGCAAGGTTACATATGTAGGCAAGGAGGACTGTGGGTTGGTTTATAGAAGTACGACCACCATCGGATCTCCTTGCCTAATATAACATCAATCAATTTATAGCTAACCATAATGCGCCGATGGCCCAGGTGCCCATGCGGCTGTCTAACAGTCCCTATTTATTGGTTAACCTTAACTTTGGCTTGTAGTTGTTGTTGGGAAATCTAGTCTTTCTAGACTTTGTTTGATGTTTACCTGCTCATTAGGATGCTATATCTTGTTGTTAAGCTTATTCATATCTTTCTCTATGTTGTTGCTTCCGTGTTACTCTTGTTTTTAGGGGAGATGCTGCCAAAATTGTCAATGTTTGCTCTAGTTCTATCCCTTGTAGTGGCATCTTAGGTAGGGAGGTTTTGGGGTGTTACAGTATTTTCCTGTAGATATACTTGTTCTTGGAACTAAACTCATTATTGCGCCTTTTTATTTTATCATGTAACACTACGTCTTAATGCTATCTTAATCTTGAAAATTACAGGTACTACACTGGATATCCCAAGGACCTTGGGCCATCAAGAATTATACCATTCACATCTGAGCGTCAGTTTGTGCAGCTATTGCATGAAGGCAGGCCTGTAGTCGTTGCCTTTACTATTAAGTATACTAACTCTGCTGTATTTTTTTTTTCAAAAACACTAACTCGAATAGCAAATCCTCATGAGCTGTTCTCACTTCAATCCTGAAAATTGCATTTTGTTAGGTGCACTTATACACAGCATCTTGACAAACTACTGGAAGAGGCTGCTGCTACATTTTATCCGCATGTCAAGTTTGTCCGAGTAAGCTACTCTTCATTTTACATTTACAAGAAAATTTTCTCTTAGTCTTGTCAGATCACTTCTAATTGATGAACTATTTGGATAAGACACTGAACTTATGGTGCTTCATTAACTACTTGTTGCCTAAATTAAAACTATACATGTTATAGCCTATTATGCCTAAAGTGCAACTTTTTGTTGGTGATTAGAACTATTATTTATCTGATGATAAAGCTATAAACTTTGTTCCTGGCTGGCTCATTTTAATTTTACCGTGTAAATTGATTATCCTTAATCAATGATTTCTATTGTTGTATTCAGTTTCACTGATCAAATTCAGTGTTGTCTATGTTTGCATATTTGTCTTAGTATATGTTCTTTTTTCTACTTCCTGTTTCACTTAGACAAGCAAGTCGATTTTGTGTGTGTGTGTGTGGGGGGGGTTCTTTTCTGATTAGGCTTGCCTCCAGCAAGGAACCATTGAACATCTTCTTGTCTGCCATCAGGTTGAGTGCCCGAAGTATCCAGGGTTTTGCCTCACCAGGCAAAGGAATGAATATCCATTTGTTGAAGTATTTTACAGCCCAGAACAGGTGATTGTTTGTTTGGTATTTGTTTGGATCCTTCATGCAATTTTAATTCATTCTCTGGTTACTATTTCACTGCTTTTTTACAAAAAATTGTGCCAACTGGGATAACAGATAGCAGCATAGTGGATCAAGGCGTGATTTTGTTGTGAGCTCGTTGCCTGCTAAGTTAGTATCATTGTGTTGTGATCATTTTTCCTTCTTGATATTTTATATTCTTTATAATTTCCTTAGTACTCATGGCTAGATGATGATAAGTGAAACAAGATTGGTACATGACAAACTTCTGCTTGCCGAACAACTCACAGGAACTAAGCTACTAGCCTGCATGCACATTTAGTGTGTTACTAGTTTACAGGGGTACTTTTGACTAAAAGCGAGAACAAAAATGCTTGGGAACATGTGCGGGCCCTCTAATCTTACACAGCAATTCAAAAATTACACGCCCACTAATTTAAAATGGAGGGAGCACTTGTTCAGCTGCCTACAAGGCTAAAATGTTGTTTTCATTCTTTCATCCTCAGGCATCGCTATTGATTGGTTGTAGAGTTGCAGATATTTTTCTTTCACAACCATGAACATGTTTTCATTTATCGTCTTGGCTTGACTTTTTTCTATACTTTAGGCTGCAAGCCAAGGAAAGAGCGTGGATCCTAACATCACAAAGTATTCTGTAAAAGTGCTACCTGTAAGCTGGTGCCTGTCCGTTCAATAGTTGAATTCATGTTTTGTTGTTGAGCTGATGATGTATTGTATCTCCTGCAGTTCAACTATGATCAGAGCATGTATGGATTTCGTGAATATTTCAGGAAGCATGGTTTCAAGTGTTCTGAAACAAACTGAAACTAGATCTGTCAGTAAGAATCTGCCTTAGGAGTAATCCTGGGGACTTGAGTAGCATGGAGGCAGCTGTTGTTTATAATTGAAATGCAGTGAGGCTCTACTGGTGTCTTGACTCTTAACCAGTTCATTCAATGGTCTGTTTGTTTGTTACTCAGGTAAGTTGCCTAGTGCTGTGTAGAATCTCGATCAGTGGTCTTATTTCTTTTTGGTTTGGATCCTGGAAAGGCTGCCTGGTCAGGCAGCAATCCTAGGTGTCCAAAGTTGTTGGGCAAGTTTCTTAGGACACTAACAAAACAAGCCAGTGTCGGGTGCTGATGAATGAAAGCCTGGCCCATGAGCTGCCCGGCAGGCCATAAATCAAACAGGCTAAAATTCATGTCATGTATTCATGTACAGGGGTACTGTTCATTCCTATAGATTAGCTTTAAAATACCTATGGACCTTTGGATTTGGTAAATAAATAATTTACCGCTCAGCCAGGACTGAGCATTTTGCATATTTTTTTTTCCAGCGTTAGTGATTTGCGATTTTTATGGTCAGAGCTGGCAGTTATTACCTATTAGAGGTCAAAGCCCCTGGACGAAATGAAGTTATAACCTTTTATCTCATTAATTACTAAAACCTAAACAGAATTTTTACACTCAGCTAGCGCTCTCCTCAGACTATCTGACCGGCCTATGTTTTCAAGGATTTTGGGTCTTGAGCTGTAGCCGTAGATATTGATTGAGCAACACTAAACCCAAGATATTGATTGAGCTCCATTTCTCTCAACGCTCAGGTTTTGTCCGCAGGCAAGGCTGTATAACCAAGCATGATTCCTAGGCATTCGATTTTGATCGCCTAGGGTGGACACAATCCAAACAGCCACTGAATCTGAGGACCAACTTCAACAATTGCTGCAGGTCAACCGAATGCTGGAAGATACTTTGCCACTTCCATGTTTGCGTTCGACACGAGCAGAACATTGAACCTGATGGCGCTAGCTTGGGAGTTGGGACCATGATGTTCCTTTCCAGGCCTGCCTATTCTAAGTTGTGTAGGTCACACACTGGCGTTCACCCACACTTCCAATGGTGTAAGGATCGCAGGTCGTTCCTATTCTAATTTGCACCTCTGGGGCTCTGGGCTAGCTTCAGATCCAGACTTCTGCAAAAACACCATATTGAAATGGGCTGCTAAAACCCAGACCAGACTTCTGCAACAAACCTTCGTATTGAATCGGCCGATAACGGTAAGCCTGGCTTGTGGCCCGCCCATGGCTTTCAGATAAGGCCGAACCTATCATTTCTTTTTTCCTTAGAAATATGGCTTCGATGTTTCTTATGTTTTAGACCTTGTTTGGTGGAGCTATGGCAGCTCCGGCTCCACTCCTCCGTGCATTATAGTAGAAGATGACAGATGTTTTAATCTGTCTTACTTAAATGAACTAGGAGCTGATGAAACCAATATTTTGAGCTTCATGAGCTCCAATCCTATAGTTTGGAGCTGGAACCATGCTAAATGGAGCCTTAATGTTTTATGCACCCAGGGAAAAAAAACATACCTCCGTAGATTTATGTGATTTGAAAGTGCTGTTGTTTTGAAGACTTTTTTTTTAACTCGCATAGAACATAACACAAACTAACAGCCTGTTCGGGAGGCCGTATCGTATCGTGGATTATTTACTGCTGGCTGGTTTGGTGTGAGAGAAAAACACTATTTCCGGCTGAAAATTTACGATCATTTACGAGCAAGCGAACAGGCAATAAGTTGTGCGATACCTAGCACAGAATGAACTGACGTACTAGAGTTCGACAACACAAGGGTCGCCTCCGATACAGAATAAAATTCAACCAACCTTTCACAAATGTAATCTTAAGCCCTCCAGTAGACACACTGAGTTCCCGACCGTACTTGGGGCCACAAAAGGCTTTAAGGCTCCAGTGGTGACAAAATGGCAGCAGGTTGTTACACTCACAGATATATCCCCTCTAGATGGGAGGGGGCTGTCCAGAATCAAGAACATGATGATAGCAGTCACTCTAGATGTACTTGCATAGCAGAGAAAACAGAAGTTAGCATCACAATATGATCTGGTAGCACAGCGCATTCCTAACAACCTCAACATTCACAACCGCATGGATAGAGAAGAACGAAAAAAAAAACTGTAAAATACTATCACTGCTCAAAATTTTAATGTCTGACAGATGAGGTGGTGTGCAGTAATACTGTTGTGGAAACCACCACAAAGGTTTTTTGGCATAAGATAAGAAAATAGCCCTAAACTATTTACCGCTCAATCTAACAGCAAGTGGCTTCCACACAGCTAACACAACAGCTGGGTACAGTTACAAGCAAATGTCCTTGATCTGACCAATATCCAAGGAAAAAATAGACTTCAGTGTTCTCTACTCGGGGTTGACCTTTTGCATCTTAGAATGCTCCTTGTTTATTTTAGCCTCACGACGCTCCCTCTTCAGTCCCTTTATGTCATTTGATAAGGTCAACTTCCCAACCTGAATTCAGTCAAAACCACGAATCAGGTTACCATGTCAAATGCAATGTCGACCTTTATGATTGTTCCAAAAACAAATTCAGTAGACCTGCTGGTCTGGCATGTAGACTTTACCCAGCTTTGTACAAGGCTAATGGAACCACAGTTGGCGATAGAGGACTACAGTAACTGAGAAATGAAGAACAGTTAGTTCCATGCTGTATACCTTCTTAGGCTATCTCCAAGCAACAACGTCCAAAATACAAGACACATTCGTCATTTGGGTAGCGCTACAGGCAAAAGGTTCAATACCTATTCGACATCTTCTCCAACAACAAGACCCAAAAGGGAATCATTTCTGTAAATAGATTTCCAGAAGAGATGATGCCCATATTTGGGTTGTGCCTCTCAAACAGCCTAAAATAGATCTCCCGTATAGATACTCTGTTGGAGGCTAATTTTGGGTCTCTTGCTACCCATTTTGAGTTTGGGTGCCGATATGGGTTTCTTGTTGGAGACAGTCTTAGCATGCTCAGCAGTCCTCATAGCTTCTTTCTTCAAACTTTCAACTGGAAGCCTGTGCCTCCGATTGTCTCATATAGTTTGTGTTTATGTGTGTGCTTGGTGACAGACATGCATGATCATGTATTTACTAGTGTTGCAATAATCATTGTATGGTGCATCATTGAATTCTGGCCAACCTGATAATCCTATCAGAAATAAAATGAACATTCTTTGTTTTTCTTCTAATCGTTTAATTGTTGATTGAGTTCTCTGTCCTCGTATCTTAGATTATATCCGTTCATTGGTTTCATGTGTGCTTTTAAAGAAGCACTCTACGCATGCCGACATGCAACGTACAGACATAGTCACTCGACGTAGCGCCACTCTCGGGCGCGGCACGTCGCCCACGCCCAATGCACTGCTCGCCATGCTGCAGGATTGTTGTGCCTCTATAGGACTAACGTCGTGTACCATGAGATCAATGTAAATGTGCGGTTGATCAATTCTCCCTCTTACATCGTAACAGTGACCGACGGATCCTGATCCTTCTTTAATCTATTCGCCACAGCTTCCGCATCCATGGCGTCATCCCCTTCCAACAACGACGCCTCTTTTGACTCTGACCTCAATCCACCAAAACCCGCTGTTGCTGCCATTGTCCAAAGCATCAACATACGTTCCCACGTCCCAGTCACCCTCGACCTCGACGACGGCAACTACTCCCAATGGTGCTGCTTCTTCAACTCTGTTCTTGCCAAGTTCGGACTCACGACGCACGTCCGATCGCCAACACCGACGGCAGAGCGCACCGGCGAGTGGCAACTCATCGACCCCTGCATCGTCAATTGGATCCTCAACACCATCTCAAGTCCATCTTCGACATCGTCCACAAGCCCCATCTCACCGCCTACTCCTTGTGGACCGTCGTTGAAAAGCTCTTCCTCGGCAATGAACTCTAACGCACCGTCTACCTCGAGGACGAAGTTGCGCAGCCTTCATCAAGGTGACATATCCATCAACAACTACCGCACCAAGCTCAAACGCCTCGCCAATCAACTTCGCGACATCGGCCACCCCATCTTCGAGCTGAGCCAAGTTCTCAACCTGCTCCGAGGTCTCAGCCCGCGCTACCATCATCTCAAGCCGGTGATCACCGCCAAGTTTTCGCCCCACACCTTCATGAGCACCAGATCATTCCTAATCCTCGAGGAGCTTAGCGAGAAACATGACGCCAAAGCTGAGGCATTGGTCCAACAACGCCGCCGAGCATGGATCCGGCAACAGCACGAACTCCGGTTATGTCCTGCGCTGTCGGGTCCGCTGACAGCGGCTCCAGCTCTACCATTCCTAGAAGTACAAGCGGCATGGATGCGGCGGAGGCTACACCGGTGGTTGTGGCCATCGCCCCCAGGGCCCCTCTAGACCCTAGACCACGGATTACAACCCATGGACCGGCCACGTGCAGACTTGGCCCGCCCCTTTTCGGGCACCCGGCACTGGCCTCTTGGGTTCTCGACCACCCTTTCAGCAGCAGCAGGCCATGATGCCATATCAGGCTCCGACTCCCACCCCTCCTGGCAAATCAACAAGGACTTGGGACTCATCGTCCCCCTACACGGCGTTGTCCAACACTGGCGTGCGCACCCATCCTCCGAGTGCCACCAAATGGTACCTCGACATAGGTGCTACCACTCATATGGCTTCCTTCCCTGGTAACTTCCCTACCATCCTCTTCAAACCTTCCTCTTCGGTGATCATAGTCGGCAATGGTGCCCGATTGCATGTCTCTCACCAAACCTTCAGTTCCATTCTAACATCTTCCTCCCTACTTTATTTATGCAATGTTCTTGTTGCTCCTTCTTTGATAAAGAACTTAATTTCTATCCGGCGGCTTAATCGTGATAACAATGTTTCAATTGAATTTGACCCCTCTGGTTTTCAATCAAGGATCTTGCAACGCGGGTGGAGATGCTCCGATGTGAAAGCAATTGGGATATTTATCCACTTCGGTTCCAACCACATC